CTGGTATAGGCTAAGGGCTCCAGGGTCCCAGCGGCACATCCCCACCCAGAAATTCCCGAAGTACCCCCCCGGACTCAAACGCACTATTTACTTTTAAACACTATTAATATCAGCGTAAATTCATTTTAAAGCTTGTGTCATATTCCATCGGCCCTTTCTGGTTTATTTTTTATTTGATATCATCAACATGTCACTGAGACAGATTATGACGTCTTCCCTGGCTGCAAGATGAAGAACCCTAGTGAGAGTATATAAGGAATGCTAGGAAAATTTCCTACCATTTCTCTGCGGTACTTCCAGTAGAAGCTCCCTGTGTCCCGTCATGTTGATTTAAACGTCGCATTTTACATGCAGTTAATTCAGCAATTAGATTCGGTGCATGTAAAATGCGACATTTAAACCGGGCCTGAGGTGTTAATCCACCCATCGTTTTATTTTTGTGTTGTCATCTCTGCCAACAATTTCAGTCCTCATTGATTTATCTCTCTTTTTGTTCAATCTGGCGGCGTCTGGCAGTGACTTGTGCACGCAAGTTTATGTTTTCTTTGTCAGCGGCACTTTCGCATAATTTGAATATTTATGAATATTCAACAGTAGCACCTTCGCGTGTCGAACGGGTTTTGTTTTCGCCCGTGATTCTTACTTTCACTGGTTTCACCATTCTTGGTTAAAACAGAATGATAGCGGCTTGCCTGAGAAATGCAGCACCATTTTTAGCTACAGGTTTGGCGGCGGGATCGGCGGCCTTATTGGGATACCAAGCTCATTATTCCACAGGTAAAGACATGAATTAGCTTCTGGTTTTGGTATATCTACATTACAGGGTAGTTTTCTTTTGACCAGACCTTATTTTGCTGTGGTGTCAATCAATGGAAAGAGGGCTAAAACAGATCAGTTGCAGCAAAATTAAGTGATTGTAATTTGCATGTGCTTTAGCATTAAATCGATCACGCGTGTCATGGCCGGCGCCTGCTGTAAACAACATGCTCTGCTACATTGAATAGGTTACAAAGACTTTCTGGCTAGACTTCTCATTCGTTAGTCTTGGTAACTGTATTGTAAGGTGTCAACTTGGAATTTTCTTTTTAGAATCTTATTGTGGCCAAGGTGATCGTTGGGAGTAATAAAACTTTTCGTGACCTACAATGTCACTCGGCTTTTCAGCACACCTTTATAATAATAATATCAAATTGTCACGCAAAACAGCAAATTCTCCATTTTAAAAAAGATTTTCACGACATTTTATGATGTTGAACTCCCAGCTTTTGCTGTAGTTATATTTGCAGACAGAGAAGGTCATTATCCGCTTGCAATGTTTTTGGCTGCGCTAAACTTGCGGACAAAAAAGGGCTTTTGCTTCATAATGCGATTTCACTTTTGCTGCTTAGGTGCAAATATTTACAGAAATATTTTGACCTGAGATCAAAGTTATTAAGTCTAACCCACACGAAACAAGTCAGCCGCATCAAGCTTTGCTTTGCAATGTTCTTAAATCAACTAAGCTCGCCNGTTTTCTTTTGACCAGACCTTATTTTGCTGTGGTGTCAACCAATGGAAAGAGGGCTAAAACAGATCAATTGCAGCAAAATTAAGTGATTGTAATTTGCATGTGCTTTAGCATTAAATCGATCACGTGTGTCATGGCCGGCGCCGGCGTTCAGACAAACACATATTATGTGATTCTTTCAATATACAGACCGGCAAAAATTTCGCCATGTTCTCAATATATGAATACTACTTTCATATGCAAAATAAAATTAACACTTACATAGAACCTCTTTTCGATTTTGGTTCCTTTATTATACAGACAGAATTGCCTCGCCGCTGAACATGTGCGAGATTTTGGTTCTTTATTATGCAGACAGAATTACCTCGCCGCTGAACATCGGTGAGATTTTGGTTCCTTTATTTTACAGACAGAATTACCTCGCCGCTGATCATCGGTGGAATTTTGGCTTCTTTCTTATACAGACAGAATTACCTCGCCGCTGATCATCGACGAGACTTTCGTTCGGTATATAAGAGAAATTAAATTATTACATATTCCAACATTTACATAAAATAGTTTCAATCTATATATTTAAACATTCACACAATATGTGAATATATGTAAACAGGCACCGGCCCTGCTGTAAACAACATGCTCTTCTACATTGAATAGGTTACAAAGACTTTCTGGCTAGACTTCTCATCCGTTAGTCTTGGTAACTGTATTGTAAGGTGTCAACTTGGAATTTTTTTTTAGAATCTTATTGTGGCCAAGGTGATCGTTGGGAGTAATAAAACTTTTCGTGACCTACAATGTCACTCGGCTTTTCAGCACACCTTTATAATAATAATATCAAATTGTCACGCAAAACAGCAAATTCTCCATTTTAAAAAAGATTTTCACGACATTTTATGATGTTGAACTCCCAGCTTTTGCTGTAGTTATATTTGCAGACAGAGAAGGTCATTATCCGCTTGCAATGTTTTTGGCTGCGCTAAACTTGCGGACAAAAAAGGGCTTTTGCTTCATAATGCGATTTCACTTTTGCTGCTTAGGTGCAAATATTTACAGAAATATTTTGACCTGAGATCAAAGTTATTAAGTCTAACCCACACGAAACAAGTCAGCCGCATCAAGCTTTGCTTTGCAATGTTCTTAAATCAACTAAGCTCGCCTCTGAGGCATTCAACAATAATTTTAAATTATTTTTAGGTTTTGGCAGGACTGTACCGCGGAAAAATAGCGTGACCAGTCCTTTTGGAATCACGTGGCTAGTATTGACAGGCAAGCACAATCAGTTTACTGTGGCCTTTGTCCAGCTGTTGTTTTGCTACGTTTTCTGTGCTGGCAATGAATAAAGAAACACCTGAAGTAATATTTATCTTTTCATTCTCATACAAGTAATACGCAACAGACGAGCAATTTACAGTGAGGTCACAAGATGACTTTAATTACTGACATAAATTCTCCGCTACAAATCGAAAACAGTTAAAAGTTGTAATTTTAAACACGCAATTATGTGATGCCTATTAGTTGAACGTTGTCCCAGTTTTTGCCATGCTATTAACATGATGCTTCTAATTACTCCTTGTGTTGTTTAGATTTCAACAAAAGCTGTGTTAGATATTTCAAAACTTTTACCTAAGGATACGTACGAGTACTATGCACAAGATTATGCTATCGGAAAGTCGCGGATCACCGCGTGTGATAATGACTTGACACATTAGTTAGACAGTGTTTATTGACAGGAATCATTCAACAGACGATATATATGTTAATATCGGCTTGCATTTCAAATGTAATCTTATAGCGTCGAAAGACATGCATGGCCAAAGAGCCAAGTGTTGAAAATAAGTCGATTTGAAACCTTTTGTCGGTGATTAAATCGACCAACACATTCCGGTTTTATTTGCGCTTAGAAGCTTGTTTTACACCTATTAAACGGTAATTATGTGAAAAAGCCTGTGTAAAAATAAATTAATCTATTTATGTTTGATAACAAATCGGCTTAGGCAACAGCTCATACCATGCATCACTAATCTTCGTGCAACACAACCTTACGCGACCACTGAGCATATTTTGAATTCAGCATTGTTTTGTCAAAATCTTACTGACTGGACTGGCCAAGTGTTTGAGCCCAACATTTTATAACGTTATGTTTGCAAATGAAAGTATATATGCACTGTGGGATATGATTTGTCTAAGGACTCCTTGGAGGAATGCGGCGCATCGTGACCTTATGAATTATTTACCGTCTAAAACGTTGCGTCTTTTCAGGTACTGGCGTTTAACTTATACCACACAAACCCTAACCCTAACCCAAAGCTCTTTCGGTATCGGAATAAGCTAGAGACTGCGAGCAAGCCCAAACTTGCAACCATTGCATCACTTACCTTTTTTCCTTTTCCGTTATAGACTGTTGCAGACCTTAACTGATACTGACTAAGTTATGACTAACAAACTGAACGTTTTTTGAAACTTTCGTTGTAGAATACAGACTTGCACATTAAATATTGACTCTCCGCCGACTTCGATGATTCCGATGGATACTTTCAATAGTTCATTATATTTTTGTTTTTCTGTTAAGTGTCTGTTAAAAGCTAAAGGAAACAATCGTTTGCGTAAGAGTGCCTATCTGCTTCCTGATGTCAACCGAAAAGCCACAAAGGTACCAATTGTTTTAATCGAGGCAAGAAATTCAATAACTAATTGATTTAGAGGTGGAGCACTGAAGATAATATACGCAGTCCAGTCAATCACGTGATCGTCCAAATGGCAAGCAGTTTTCCTTGTGGCAAGTTATGTAGTCTAGCGTGTATTGTTCGTTTGAATTGATTTTCAGTATAAGGACATAAAATGCACACTAAAAACCTCTAAAACATGATATGGGAATTAAGTAACCGAGAAAACTTTGGATGAAGTCGACCGAAAATCAAGGACTGAAATATTCCGCCCAGAACAAAACAGTTTAATTTATAAATGTACAAGTAGGCTTTCAAACTGTCCCTTATACTTGTGGATTGTTTTCCCTTTGTTAAGCAGAATCTCCCGTTTGTAACTAGACTTTGTTATCCATTGTCAGGAGCCCATAATGGGCTCCTGCCATTGTGTAAAGTAGTCGCGTTATAACGAAGCCGATAAACAGGAGACCAAAAGAACTGA